TATATATACATAAATATATTTTTTTTAAATATTATTACACATATTCTTCATAAAAAAGTGCCATCGAAGCACTGGTATCGAAACTCGTTGATTTTAATAGATAACTCATGAAATCGCATTTATAGCTTATGATGTGTTTATTCGATAAGTCAAAAATGCAAATTAATCTAAGCCGAAATTGGATGATAATGTATAAAACTAGTGTGTATTATTAACAATCTTTTAATTTGTATTTATTTATGATTCTAATAGTTACAAATATACTCACTTGTCCCAATGATCTTTATTTATCGGATATGTTCTGACTTGATAACTCATAAGACTTTATATATATAAGTTTTTGGATATCTTTTAAACAAAATTGATATTCTATTGTGCATTTTAATGCATTTTAATATTTCAATTTTAATATTCATCTATCGAAATATGTATTCTACCTATAATTCAATGGACAGTTGATCTTATCGATGGACAATTACTTCTGATCTGACTTTATACTCACAACATATTTTTAGTTTTATAAAACGCCTTGTTTATTGAAATTTAATATAATGCTCAATATTTAAATTTATTAATACTTCGTTGTTACATTGAAGTGAATGGCCTAAATTGTAATTGTCTGTTGTTGCTAATAATACACACAAGTTTTACACATTATCATCTAATAATATATTAGCTTGCATTTTTTATTTATGATTTATTTCTTTAAAGTTTTATTATTCGAGATATGGTATTATTCGAGATATGGTTGTTTATTCGGTCTAATCGATTTCGCAAGCATTTTTTTTATAATACCCACAGCACGTTTCATGAGAAATACGTATATATATATACTCTCTTTCCTAAAAGCTTTTATATATTTTATACAATTCTTTTGTATAATTACTATTCTATTATAGATTGATGTACATCCGAGAGAATACTTTATAAAAAGTATCTTCAGAAAACTGGTTTTGACTCTGATGTATGTATATCCGTTAGCATCATAAAATAAATAATACCATAAAAGAAAAGACAAGGCTAATGCTGAAAGAAAATGCCAAATGGCATAAGAATAAAAAAAGTTCAATAATGCGCGAGTTTATTGTACTGATGGCTGATGTAAAAGTCCAAGAAACAATTAATTTTATTCACGAAGAAGTACAGGCTGCTCTTTAAAAAACAGCAAAAGAAGATATAAATCACGGATGTGAGAAGAATCCTTGTGGCAAAGCTACAAATAAAATGTTTGTATTAACTCAAATTAAAAAGTTCTTAGTTTTTTACACGACGACCACGAAAAAGAGAAAAGAGAGAGAATGTATATACCTTCATCATTTATGTAAAAAAATATGTATAAAGTTAAATTAGACATAAATATAGCTAATAAAAACGCAGTGAAATTGCCTTGTTGATATTTCCGAATATCGCGAGTCCAACATAATAAATTTTCTAGTACAAATACTATAAATTCATAGTATAAGAGTCTTGCTGAATAAAGCGATCGAAGTATTTGGAGTAAGTGCTATACCGCAGTATGCCTTGCGTTTGATTCTCTTACAAGAGAATAGATATCAACAGCACACAAAATAAAAAAACATACCTGCAATGTATTATTCTTTTAAAAATCGCCTCTGTGAAATTTATATCCCACGTAATTGTACAATTAGAAAGAATTCAGATAGTCAATCATGATTTAAGGATATATTCTCGTTTGTAAAGCTAAAGATTATATGATTATATTATTATTCAGGAATTTTTTTAAAAGAAATAAATTAATATATTAATATGAAACTTTTTGAAACTTTATTTATACAAAATAGATATTTAAAAATTATTTTTTTGTGTCCATATGTATCATACAAAAAAAAAAATACGCGGTGATACGCAAGATGTATGAAAAAATTTCTTTTTGAGGCGTTGACATCATTCCGTTAATTCTAGTAGCCTGAAACCAAAAAAACCAAAAAAATTATTAAATTGTAAGAATTACACTATTACTGAAACTAGAATATGAAACAAAAATTGAAAATTGTTGAAACGGTAATGTTTTGAAAAATTTGTATTTGTATTGATTTTCACCTATAAATTTGTTTGGTTTTTTTTTATATATAATAAAATGGAATAATCGTAAATTAAATTCCGCAATTCTAGTAATAAAAGAACGTATACTTAATGGATACGTAAAAATTCAAGTCGATCGGACGCTTAATTCCCGAGATATTATGTCAACACAGTTAAAAAATACTGTTTTGAGAAAAATACATTTAAAGTTTCAACTACGATTTACAAATAGATTAATTGTAAGTAATAACCTGCAGCTATTAGCTTTGATAATATATTTTCACTATCAACTTCCGAAAATGCAATAAAAAAATCGATTTTTTTGACCTGACAAACGAGAATATTCCCTTAACATATTAGATAAATTATTATGTAATTAAAAATAATATTATATTGTCGACGCGGGGAGGTGGAAGAAGAAGGAAGGAAGACATACACGCACAAATATAAAATGTATATTTATTTTCAAAGAAAACATTGTATAGAAGACTTTAACATCGTGAATGATGTACTATGCAATTGTCGCAAACATATTACTTCATGACAGATGCAAAAATGTATATACTTTAAATGTAAAACGTTAATCTTTTTTTCTCTATATCAATTTCTTTTTTCTACGTTTCGCGGGATATATATACACACACACGCACACATACACACACACACACACACACACACACATATATTTTTTTCACTTTAAAACATTATCACATACATTTTTCATAAAAAGTGCCATCGAAGCACTGGAATTAAAATTGGTTTTGTAGCAGGCAATTTATGGAATTGCATTCGTTCATACATTCATTTGACCTAATCGACATCACATACATTCTTTAATACAGACAATATCCACATATACAGGCTCTCCTAAGAGCCTTTTGTATATTTTTTATATACAAATTCTTTCGTGGAATTACTATTCTAAGAATTTTACAATTCTAATATATGAATTGTAATTCTACATTTGAGAAAATACCTTATGTAAAATTATAAAATTTCATATAATTTTCACTACGTAGAGATCTTCAAAAAACTGGTATTTGACTCCGATGTACATCCGTTAAATCATCATCTAAAGTAAGTAATACCATAAAAGAAAAGAACATAGCTAATGCCGAAAGAAAATGCCAGATGTCATGAGAATCAAAAAAGTTCAATAATGCGCAAGGTTTATTATATAAGCGGGATTGAGCTGGTGTAAGTGCCCAAGAAATAGTTTTATTCACGAAGAAGTACAAGGCTGCTCCCCAAAACAGCATGGATAAGAAAATGTAAATTGCGGGTGTAGGTAGAATCTTTTCCCTGTGGCAAAGCTAAAAATAAGATTTTTCATATTAATGCAAATTAAATAACTTTTAGTTTCTTATACGGTCACAAAAAAGAGAAAAAAAAAGAGTATATACATACCTTCATCATTATGTAAAAGAATGTGTATAAAATTAAATTGGACATCAGTATAGCTAGTAAAAATGTAGCGAAATTGCCTTGCTGATACATATTACCAAATACCGCAAGTCCAACGTTACATAAATTTGCCAGTACAAGCATTATAAATCTTGCGGGATAAAGCGGTCGGAGTAAGTGCCATATGCCGCAGCGCGCCTCATGTTTGAATCTCTGCAAGATATCAAATGGCAAATGTGTCTTGCGATGATACGGTAAAATCAAGGAGACATATACCTGCACCATTCTTTTAAAAGCGCCTCTGTCAAATTTGCATCGACCCATATAATATATTTGTACAGTCAGAAAGAAACATATTAGTAAATGCAGGATGGAAAATATTATCAAAAAGATTTTGGAACCATTTAGAACTCCAATCAATCCTGCGAATATTATAACAGCTAACATTCCAAATGTTACCGGTGCTCTAGCATTTATATCAGGATGACGATTTTGATAAATCTTGATCATACAGAGAACCGCGATTACGTACATGAAACTGGTGTCTAGAAATTAAATAATATTTAATACCAAAAACAATACTTTGTTTTGTTTTTAATACAACTTACCAAATTGAAAATTGCTACGGCTAGGGCATACGTGGTAACTGGCCGACAATATACCTTCCATTATTAATGCAGTGCCCATTGCATAGAATAAACCATAATGTTGTGGTATGCCGTAGCATTTAATTTTTTCTTTATCTAGTTCATTGTGTTCCCGAGAATAAGTTAAAAATATAAATAGTAAACCCAGCATAACGTATCCAAAATTTGAGAATAGGTGATTGAAGTCGGACAGCAAACCCAGTGGATGAGCGCATAGGAAATTGTAATAGCACATGTCTTGATTTCCAGTTGTATGAAGGACACGCTGATATGTCACCGCCAATTGTACGACCGGCAGTGTATAGAATATCGCGACAGTTGTCAAGTAATATAAATATAAACGAGATTTATGTCGCAATATTCTTGGTTCTTTGCGAGCGAGATCACAGACCGAGAGAATGACCTTTGTTCGTATCACATCCTTATCAGAGAGAGCATCCTCCATTAGATCTATATCATCCTCATCTAGGGATGAATCTTCTTCCGTAGAATTCAATTGTTTTGGACTATTCTGACAAAATATGTAATACAACATTCAATTACAAACATTAAAATTATTATGAATGTGAACTTTGCAAAATACATAAAATATGTACAACTATATAGGATGAGGCATATTTCTTTTTATTTTATTAACACACTATAAATCCGCTTTGAAACTCTAAAACTTTTGTTCGAAACCTTTTTTTGTACTTCTTTAATTTTTGAGATATTCACATTTTATGTGCCTCATTCTGCATGAAATATTAATCCATTATAATTAGTTACCTCTTCTACCATTGACGGACTCGGTATATGTTCATTAAAATCTTGATTTTCATTTATCGAGTCTTGTGTTGCAAGTTTCTTATTTTCTCTGATACTGAACACTATTACAGCCGTTATATAAATGATACAAAAACCTAATACAATTGTTGCTGCTGACACCGATGCGACAACATAATCCCGTTTGGTAATAGTTGGATTTACAATTAATGTAACATTTTTAGTACGAAGAGGATTACTATTAGACAATCCATTACAGTCAGTGTCTTCTCCTTTGACAACAAGTACAACGAAGAATCCTAACGGATAAGCTTCTCTCTGAAACAAGTATTGTAATAAATCTATTCTTGGAATACCAAGTTTCATGAATCTTGCAGTCCACTTTATCAGGGCGAAGAGCAGATACTAAGTATCAGGCTGCTTCTCGCCCTGATGAAATAGATTGCAACTCACGAAACGTTGGCATTCCAAAAATGGATCTGAATATGAAGAAAACCCGTAAAATGCATAATTTTTATATAGAAAGCACCTGTGGAAGCCTCAAAAATATTAACTATTATAACAATTTCATGTTGACTGTTTTATATATATAATACTGTTATATTATAATAACATATTATAACAATTTTATATTATCGTTGTATATACAGAAACATGAAAATCAAGTGATTTTTAAAATTAAATAACAATATGAAATATAATTTAGATATTATTTTCTTATTATATAAGAAATATATAATGAAATATGTTAATCAAAAGCTGAGTACTCAATGAGCAGTTATAACTGAATGCATCCAAAGCAGCTCAATAAACGCTCAGTGATTCTTTAATATAATTAATTCTTGTCTTTACTTCTTCGCTGGATAGAAACCAATCATAATAAAGAATCATTGAGCTGTTTGCTAAACGCAGTTACATTGTCCAAATATACTCAAATATACTCAAATGATATTCTATTTTCTAATGTTATATAATAAGAAATAAATTAATATTTATTTCTTATTAGTTATTTTATTTAAAAAATTGCTAGATTTTCATGGTCCCTGTATAAAATACATCAATCATATATCGAAAAGATTATTATAATTCAACTTACCGGTACTGTAATACCTCCTCTTCTACTTACAGTCTGCCAGTGTCCAGAAAATTCAATATTTCGTTCCAAATCAAATACAGGACACTGGAAAGAAAAGATAGAGATTTGTAAATATTGATTTTATTAAGAACTGTGTCATGCATTTTATCATGCCTTACAGATGTATTCTGTACAGAAACAGTCATACAGATATCATTATCTGATTCCACACGAACAATGACTGAGGAATTTTCCTCCTTTGAGAAGATGTAGCCATAATATATAGGTTCAGATGGAGAAATTTGTACTTCTACTTTTTTTCTGGAACTACAAAGAATAAAATGTAAAAATTTATATGCGAGCGTATTTTGGGTATATTTCTTAATGATGTTGTATTTGATACTACAAATTACTTGTATTTATACGATTTATATGATAATACAAATACATGCCTTAAATAAAAGTCCATAACTTCCACCACACTAATAGAGAAAGTGATATTCTCATGACTGGCTGTGGAAATACCAACAATAACATGTTCATCATTATTTTGTGCGTATCGATAATACTTTGTGGAGCACAGAGTACGACTAGTTTTATTATATATCACAGTATCTAAATCCGCGCTGTTGACAAGTAAAGGTATTTGCCAGGACAGAATACCTGTTGTTTGACGTACTACTATTATCAATGGCAAACTATGAGTCGCATTGCTTTCTATTGTAATCCTAGCAGTTTCCAGACTTACCTACAAATATATCATTAATATAATTAAATATAACAAATGTAAATATATAAATAAATAATATAAATAAATGTAAATAATTTTTTTAATCAATAATAATAACAGTACAATATATTTTGATTAACTTTTTGTTTTTCAATAAATAACGAAAATTTCTTGTAGTTTTTTACATTAAAAGATACATTTTTCTAAAAAAAAATTTTATCACCCTTTAATTTTTAAAAATTTTGCTCCAAATTTATCATATAATAACGCAAATTTATACCTATAAAAAATTTTAATATTTTTTTTACAAAAATAAAAGGAATAATGCAAAATCCTTTTTATTGTTTGTACAATTTAAAGTAATATATTAAAATAAAATTTATTGGAAATAATTTAATGTAAAAAATTATATCAATTTACAAAGATTTTTCAACACCTAAATGATTTTTATTTTACTCCATAAAGAAAATAGTAAATTGTTTAAATTTTTAGTTTTTTCAAAAATAAAGTTGATTTGCAAATATCTGTAATGAAACTTTTTTTTTGAGGTTTTTTATTTTCTTGATAATCATCATTCAGGTGTTAAGAAATAAAAATCTTGTAGAAGCAATGTAAGTAAAAGATATTTACTCAATGAATTAGTTTTAGGACTTACATTACTAGCAGGATACAAAAACACATATTCAACCGTAGAATTTATAGTTTCATTATAAGAATGTTCATATTTTGCCTCTACAACGATTGGAGAAAAAGATGAAGATGATATTGTTCTTACAGTATCAAGAAGCGATAATACAGTAAACAATTTCAAAGCGTTTTGCATCTTTATTGCTAGAAAAGAGACCAAATGATTAGAACAAATTTCGTTAGACAAGAGATGAAATGATGTGAACAAATTTAAATAAACATGTAGTACCTTCGTAATATATATGTTTATAAGATAAAAAAATTATACAATTTAGTTACAGTACATAAAAAATCTATAAAATTAGGCTTATTCGACGCATTTTTATGAAACAGAAGCAGAAATAAACGTCGTTTTTCCTTAAGAATCGAGATATTAAGCGTTGAAGTGAACGACTATTGAGGTTAGGAAATCTGTCACAATTACGAAATACTGTGACACGAGCATGTACAGATATATTGCACCCTGCGATCACATTTTCATGTTCTATCTCTATTAACAATATGGCCATATGCGCGTGCGTTGGTATTTCTCGAAATTTGAATTTAACATTTTGAAACAAGCGCAATAAATTCATTAGAAAAAAAACGTGCGTTAAAATGATCTCTCGCTGCGTATGCTATGTTATTGTTGAGAATATGAATTATAACATCGATCTGTTGGTAATTACATTAAACTAAACGCAAGAGATGGCATATTATTTTTGAAAGTTGCTCATCTATCAAAAGTTTTGAACATTGTTGTTCTTCCTTTTTTTTTACGGATCTTGGTACTAAGCGATCGTGTCAATTGGCGTCAATTATAGCAGCTATATTTGATAATTTTCTCGTTTCAGATAAGTTTAGAATAAGCAATTTGTCACTGTACGAAGTACTAGAATTGATCTCTTATGCTTATTTGTCTCAATATTAAGATTAATGTTACAATATGATATTTTTTGAAGCTTTTGTTCTTCTCTTGTTTTCTTTCTGATTGTAAGTTCTTAAATGTAATAATAATAATATCTTGGTAGAGTGGCCTCGACTAAGCCGAGTCGATACGGCCAGACTCGAAATGGCATAGAGTAGTCAATTAAAAATTATCCAATTAAATATGACTGAACTTAAATGAATCGTGTATTCATTTTATTTAGAAACTTTCAACAGCTATGTGTAAAAAATTGTAAACAGTGAACAATTTCACACGAGTTTACAGGTGTAAGAAATTTACTAAATATAGACACAACAGGGATACCAACAGCACAGTATATACAGCAGCACTAAGGCACTATAAATGTGAGTATTCGCAATATCCGCATTTTTACTCCTTTCCCCATTCCTTGCTCTATTCCCGACATTCTGTCATTGGTCTGAGAAGGTTATGATTGTTACGGTTGTTATAAGTTATAGCTTCTAAGCTCTTGAAAGCCTTGTCGCACTTCGAAATTTTATTATAAGAGACTAAGAGACAAAAAGAAAGATATAAAAAAATTGAAATATTATATATTAACGAAAGCAAAAAAATTTATAAAATGCCTTGTTGCATTGCGGTAAACCATCAATAGATCAGAAAAAAGTATTCGATTATTTAAATTTCCTGCAATAATGTGCAATAATATTCACAGGAAATTTAAATTATTGAATACGACAACTTGTTGTATTGCTGTAAAATAAATACATGATTTATGAATAAACATCACTACATTTCCTCACAAATGAGAAATTTCAATCCTTTTCTTCAAATTGAAGAAAAGACATATATATTTGGTATCTTATCTAGAAATAACCTGAACGCCAGACACTCTTCAGGTCCTGCTAATATTACGATAAATATTTAACTGATTTTGAGAGCAAAAATGGAATGAAGCTACAAAATTTCAAGCAGCAAATACAAATCATAACCTGTAGAGACCATAACCCGTCACAGCTTAGTGATGGAATGGGGACAAAGCAAGAAGTGGGAAAAGGAATAAAAATGATGGACGCGAATATCTATATTTCTAGTATTCTAATAGTGCAACTTTCTGTCAGCACCTTTGATGTTAGTAGAGGTTTGTCGCAACATGCCTGAAACGCTCCGATACGCGTCATCGGAACCAATATGGCGACTAGATGTTCGCGTCGCATTAGAGCATATTCCATGGATCAATTAAGAGCTCCATTCACCTCAGAAGATGGTACGATTGGAGGTTAAGACTTAAACACAATAGGCGTAGGCAATAGGCACAGAGAACAGGAAATAACGAGCTGTCCAATCAATGTTGTAGGATATAATATCGAATTTATATACCAGAACTTTGATTTGGATGGCTTGTTATTCCCTGTTGCCTGTGCCTATTATGTTTAAGCCTTTACGCATGCGTAATGATTGAAAGCATATCGCAAAAAATATTTCAGATTCATTTTGTATAAAAACATATTTAATAAATGTTTTTGATATAAATATAAAAATATAATATAACAATATAATATATAATATAATATTAATAAAATAAAATAATAAAATAAAATAAAAAATAAAATAAATAAAATAAAAAGAATAAATAAATGAAATAAATAAAAGTATTGGGAATACAAATTAGTTTGGTCTGTTTCCTTAAAGATGGTTCCAGCTGTTGTGAATGGTTCATAGTGACAGCTGATTTTGGTGGTTTCAGAGAGGCTAGACATCTGCTAATAATATTCAATTTATATCGCTTTGAGTTTTATACAAAAACTTTGATTTTTACTGTGTTTGAAATGTCGAATTTTGTGTTAATCAAGCAGCATTTGGAGAGGTTTTGATTTTCTGCTTTAATTGGAAGAAAAGTGCGGCTGAAGCCCATCGAATGCTTGTTGTTTATAGTGACTGTTCCAATTAATAAATTTCAAGGATGGAGATTTCAGCGTTGAAGACAAGTCTCGCTCTGGACAGCCAAAAAAATTCGAAGACAAAGAATTAGAGACATTACTCGAAGAAGATCAGAGTCAAACGCAAGAGGAGCTTACAGAATCATTGGAAGTAACTCAACAAGCCGTTTTTATACGATTGAGAGCCATGGGAATGATTCAAAAACAAGGAAATTGGGTGCTTTATGAACTGAAATCGAGAGACGTTGAAAGGCGATTTTTCACTTGCGAACAGTTGATTCAAAGATAACAGAGAAAAGATTTTTTGCATCGGATTGTGACTGGAGATGAGAAGTGGATATTCTACAACCCCAAGAAGAAAAATACGCTAAGTCTAGTCAATCGTTGCCATCAACCTCAACACTACAGCCGAACATTCATGGTTCGAAAACCATGCTCTATCTGGTGGAACCAAAAGAGTTTTGTTGACTATGAGTTGAAACCTAGCGATTGCATTACGGACGATCGATATCGGCTACAATTGATTCGTGATTTGAGCCGTGCATTGCGAGAAAAACGGCCGGAATACGAGCAAAGACATGATAAAATTCTTCTTCATGACAACGCTCGGCCTCATGTCGCTAAAGTCGTAAAAAAATATTTGGAAACGCTCAAATGGAATGTTTTACCGCATCCGCCGGGTTCTCCGGACATTGCTCCTTCTGATTACTGGTTGTTCCGAAGGATGCAGCAAGTCATCGGTTCACTTCTTTCGCAGAAATCGAAAATTGGCTCCAAAATTGGATCGCCTCCAAAGATGAGTCATTTTTTCGAGAGGGAATTCGAAAATTGCCTGAAAGATGGGAAAAAGTAGTAGGCAGCGATGGACTTTAATTGATCTATTCATTCATTTTGTTTTGAAATAAATGCAGTTTTGAACGGACCAAACTAATTTGTACTCCCAATAAAAAAATTTTAAAAATAAAATAAAATAATATTAATACAATAAAATATAATATAATATAAAAATATAATTTAACTTTTATATTTATTAAAAACGCATTTATTTTGTATAAAAGCGTTTTTCAAATACGAGATAACACAAAATACCCGAAACGAAATGAAGCACATCCGACTCGTTCGAGTGGCCTCACGGATTAAGTTGCATACTCACTTGTCCAAAATCTATTCTTGTTACTGAACATTGGAGCATATGAATGCAACTACTCCAACCGCCACCTTACCTGTGATCCAAGTGCTCTCTGAGTTAAGCTAGAAACACAATAAAAGCACAGACGATAGGAAATAACAAATTTGGACCTATCAGAAATACTATCATATATATTAAAATGAATGCTTTCTGATAAGTTGAAATCTCTTATTCCCTGTTTTTATTGCTTGTATTTTTCATTATGTTTCTGGCTTTAATGTTTGGAGCATGCAACGCGAACAAATCTTTCCCAAAATGGAGCACGCGCGAAATAAGTAAGTTCCCTAATAGCGTCATCTAAATTTCTTTCTCAGCCCTTTATTTTTGCGCTCTCTCTCTTTAGGTCGTTTGTACATCAAAGTATAATTTATAAGTATATAATCTAAATGTAATAAAATTAAAAGAAATAGATTTATAATTGTAATGCATTGCAAAATAAAAAAAATACAAAAATAAGAAAATATAAAATTATATAAATGTCGTATGATACAAATATTATATTGTAAAAATATTTTAAAGACTGCAGTATATGTTTTTTTCCTACTAGATCGCTTGCATTTTAATTAAATTATTAGAATTGCACCACATAGAACGCAGATTTTTAACTAAAACGAAAATAATCCAGCAATTATACATATCACTCAGTATTTAAGCGAGACTGACGAAATGATGTGGTTGCAGATATGTGTGTGTATGTTAGGTATATATTCGCGTGAATGTTAGGTAGTGTGTGTGTATGATTTCAGTTAATGATTCACCTCTCATTGCATTGTTGTCTTATTTCCAATTTTGTTGCTGGTGGGCTTTGTAACAGCAAAGCCCATCAACTGATGCCTAACTATTTGCAAGCTACTAATGACTATTGCATTGTATTTTATTTTATGTCTACTATAATCTATTGTATCATATTTTGTCTATTATTCTGTTAACATGTAGTCTTCCTCATAAAGCTTCGCAATACATTAAATTAAACTAATTAAACTAAACTAATCACGATTTTCTTTTCTTCTATCTCTTTCTCTGATTTGCTACTCGAACATTTAAATGGCCCTAAAAAAGAAAATAGAAAAAGATAGAATTAGATGGCGTTACTGAGGAACTTACTTATTTCGCGCATGCGCACT